ATGCTTTGGAGAACCAGGTAGTCTGAGGCAGGCACTGAATGGTTAAGTGACATGGCAGCTGGCTATGTCACCTGTTAAATTCATGAAACAATCCTGGGTACAATTTACATTGCTAAGTTAATAACTTGAGAAGTCCACAATGAAATCTAGGATAGAGTTGTTTTTTTATGAGCTGTTACAAGTGATGTATAAAGATTAGTCAGAGAACTCACTGAGTTCACTCTTATCAGGAATCAGGATTGGAAAAAATACCTTGTGCTTTTTTGATAAATGAAATTCCAGTACAAATATCCAGGCAATTTTTCTTTGTTGATGTTTTCATGCAGAAAATCTCTAAGCTCAGTGGTGAAAGAAAGAAAGGCTTAGTTTCCCACTTGAATGAAATGAGGCACTGAAATTTAGTTCAAGTGACATTTTTATTTCAACTTTCATAAGAGTACTCCATCCCTTGCAATAACTGAGTACCTCACTGATGCAGGACAATCTATCTTTTCTGCCTGCATGAGCCAGTTGAAAGGGCCTCAACACTTTTTTTTAAGGTGATCTAACTGAACATTCTGAAAGCTTTGAGGATCTTATCAAGCCAACTGAACACCAAAATACCTCCAAAGTTCCCACTACTTTTCCTGTTGCAAAAGTTACCCTAGAGCAAGCAATAAATAGTAGAAACCAAAATATTGATGACACTTTTCAAACTGGGGTCAAGTCACAGTGCTGGCTGGAAGCTGACACTTTATCCTAAGTACCTGAAATAAGTTATCTTTCTCCTCCCATATGAACCTTCAGGTCCTGAGAAATAACAGCACCCACTCACATCCACATTCACATCCACTCACACACACACACATGGATAAAGAAGAGGAACCTGTAAAAATAATATAATTAATATAGCATTATGCTATATTCTATTCTATTCTATTCTATTCTATTCTATTCTATTCTATTCTATTCTATTCTATTCTATTCTATTCTATTCTATTCTATTTGTATAGCTACCCATATCACATGTGTGACTCTGGATGGCTCACAACCATTTAAAAAATCAACAGAAACAAGAAAAAACAAATAGGACAAAATATAAAGCCATCTTAAAAACATTAAGATATATTCCTGTATAATTTTAGTGCAGGTATTCAGGGTTGCCACCATTCAACCAGCCTGTTTTCCAGAATATACCATTTCTTTCCTCCTTTTTCCCACCTGCCAATCAGCATTTAATAGCCAG